CTGTGAGGGCTTCAAACCGGATTTTTGTAATTAAAATCTCAATTCCTGAGCACAGCTCCCCAACAGCAATTGGTGACAGGGTGGATTCGTGGAACTGGGGCCATTGGTATTATTTAGGAATCATTTCACCGGTTCCAACCACCCCTGAAGCAGAAGGTCAGACAGTCCAGCCTAACAAAGCTCCAGCCCAGGAAAGGCAAAAGTATCCACCTGAAACACAGCAGAAATTTTAAAGCAATAAATATTGCCTAAAGCTGATAACACTGTCTGAGCTAAAGGAGGAAAGGTTATGGTCAGATATTGGGCACATTTTAGTTTTGGCTTTTGTGGCCTTTTAGTTTTTGGTTCAGTTTTCTGGCTTTTTAGTTTGAGGTTTTTATGTTTGGTTTGGGTTTTTTCTCTCCCCCCAGCACAGCGTTGCTCTGTCAAAATCAGAACCTTAACTCGGACAGGTTTTAGGAGGAAAAAAAAAAAAAATCTCAAAGCTTTGTGTTTCCAAAGGCACAGAGAACTTAAACAGATCAATCTATCTGCCCTTAATGGGCCAACTGAGCCTGTAAAGACGGGAAAAGGGGGAAATGCAGCAGCACATCCCAGAGTGAGGAAATTCTGCTCGGGTTTAAGCAAAAGAAACGGGCCAAGAGGGACAGGAACCGGTTGTTTAATTGTATTTTCTAAATATGTTTGCACAACTCTCCAAACAACCCTGTAAAGAACGAGCCATTTGTGCTGAGAAAGAGCAGAGTATTTATTACCAAGGCAAACAGCCCCATTTACTTGGGGCTGTTTCCCTCTGTATTTAAAGGCTTCTAATTTCTTAAAATAAGCACTGTTCTTGCAGCATAATTGGTTCTTTTCAATCAGGCCCCGAGTGTTTGCAGCGATCAAATTTGGTGCAGCTGTAATCAAACCCCAAACGTCTTGGGAAAGGGAAATCTCCCCCTTCCCGGGAAACCCTCGGCACTTCCCAGCCCTGCTGCTGCAGCTCCAGAGCCCAGCCAGGGCCTCCTCCACCAGCCTGGCTTTAGGGCAAGAGAAAGGCCAAAAAAAAAACCCTAAAAATAAAACTTCAGAAGGTTACACAGATGAGGATTCCTTAAAAAAAAAAAAGTCTTCAACATAATTGCATCCCTCTTCTTTTATACTAATTTCTTCTATATGTCTTTTGCATTTTATTTCTATATTTTACATTTTATTTCTATATTTTTAATTGCATATATATTTACAGCTCATCTTTTTATATATTCATATTTAAAATGTTTCATTCCACTTGTTATTTCGTATTTCTATGTATTTATAGCCCTCTGTATCCCTTTATAAATATATTTACATCCTTTTATATCCCTCTTTAATATACAGTCACATTCCCCCTTCTTTTCTAGACATACTGATAAATTGTGTCCTTGTCAGGACACAAACACCTGAATGAAAACACAAACCCAGGGCCTGGTTGAAAAGGTCAGAGGTTTAACTTGATGATCCTGGAGGTCTTTTCCAACCTAAACGATCCTGGTTTGCCTTAAATCCCTTTTTGTTTCTCACACCCTCTGGCCTAACAGGGCAGCCAAGAGGGAACAGCTTAAAACCAACAGCATAATCTTATTTTCTCCCTACATTAGTAAACTAAAAAACCAGCTGCTCTTCATCAGGAGCCTTTATTAGCCTTATTGGGGGAATGATGTGGAATTTATATCACTTTTCCTCTTATTGTTAAAGACTTGCCCAATTTATTTGCTGTGCATTCATCAGGTGTGAGGCAGCAGGGAGTGGAATTAATTCCCCATTGTAGTCCAGGCATGTGCCTGAATATTAACTCCACACATCTTCCAGGGGAAGCAATAAACGGAAACATTGGTCATTTTTGGTCATTAAATCTTTAGGCAGATTTTTCACAAGATGAGACTGTCCTGGTGAAATTCTAACTCCCATTATTTATAGCTGGGTCTGCTCGGAAATTCTCCCGCAGCTGAAAGGCAAAACTCCACAGCTGGTTTGGATTTTTGGAAAATCATTTTAGTTATAAAGGAAGGAAAAAAATCCCCCAGTCTGAGGGTGAACAGGGCTAATTGTGAAATTATGTTGAATTCAAGGGACAGTTAACAGGGGAAAAAAAAAAAAAACAAATTTGAGGATGCTAAAAGCATGAAAGCACTTAATTTAAATATTTTCTAAATTACACATTCTGAAATTGAGCTTCCTAAGAACTGCTTATGTTTCATAAAAGCATCTCTTAAGTAAAAAAAAAAAAAAAATTACCTTCCTATCAAAGGACTACATTGAAATGGGAATCAAAATTTTTCTCTGTTCTTCCAATCCTGCCAGGAAAAGCTGAGGATTTTTTACCCTCCCAGCCCTCCTGCCTTGGCTGCCCTCGTATCTCCCTCCCCATCAGCCACATCCTGAGGTGACTTGTGCTGACCCTGGGGTGTCTCCTCTCCCCAACTGGGATGTCAGGGTGGTTTATCCCCTTTTTTTTTTTTGGCAAACTCCCATGACAAGGAGGCCTTGCTGGGAATCTGGGAATTGCCAGCAGAGCCAGCTGTGCCACATCTGCCCGGAGAAGCCAAAGCTCCGGTGCTGCCTCCAGCCCAAAGATGTGCAGCCCCAGCAGCAGCACCTGGGGTACAACCACAACCCTGAGAGGTGGCTGGGGCTGGGCAAGGAGGAGCTTTTGCTTTGCTTTGCTCCCTCCCTCTCGTTTTACCGAGCTGGGAGATGATGTTCGGCGTCAGGAGAAAAATCACAACAGACAGCGAGGGACGGGAGGACGCGAGGAGCCGGGGAATGAGAGCAGACAGCAACAAGCTGGCAACAGGCAGCCACTAAATGAAGAAAGATGAGGAAGCCAGACGATGAGGAAAAGAGGATTAAGGGAGATCCACCAGCACAAGAATATGATAAAGTCAAAAAACGCACAAGGGCAAGAGGGAAGTGGAGCAGCACGGCTGGCACGGAGCTGCTGTTCCTCCAGTCCCACCGTGGCACCTCTGGCTCCTGGGGCTGGAAAAAACACCCCTGCAGGTTGTGGGGAACCCCCTCTGCCCTTGTGTTCTCACAGCAGATCCAGCCTCTGGTCTGCCTGGCCATCAAGGAATGATGCTTGTAAGAGATGTTATCGTGCAGGCATCACCAGGCAGACAAGCCAGGGAGATGTTAACTCGGATAACACCACCAACCTCAGCTGCTGCCTTTCCCCCAGGGCTGGGGCAGCGCAGACATCAGTGTAAGCACAATGTTTTTGTGTCACTTTGATGCCTCCAACGGTACTTTCTTCCTGTCCTCCTTTTTTTTAAAAAAAAAAAAAAAAAGTTCCAGAGCTTTTTGTTCCAATTTTAAAATTCTGTTTCTTTTGGTGCATTTCCCAACGACTGCTCCGAGGGAGGAGGAGAATAATGAGCAGGCTTTGATAGGGATCATAACGGAGCCATTTACTGCAGGACTCTGAGCATTGTTCTGCCTTTAAACGTGAATTATGGAATCACAAGCCATTCACCCAGTCGTAGATTACAGCGGAACTGAAACAGCATTTGCAGCAGCAGCACAGCCCCTGGATCAAACCCACACTTATCTCTTCCTTAAACCTTTGTTAACAACCCAAACAGTCTGTTCTGGGGCAGGCTCAGAGTGGCACTTCCAGCGAGTGAACCCCCTCCTGTCCCTCCCTCAAAACAACGCTCCGATGCTCCCTGTCACTCTGGCTCAGGTTAAGTTTTAAACACATTTATTTTCTGCCTCAGTTACACCCTTTAAATCCTCCTAATCACCAGTCAAATAAACTTTAGACAGTTTAAAATATATGTGACTAAAGGGCAGCCCCGGCCCCAGCCTTTGTACAAGATTACCTGCTGCAATAAAAACCCATTACAGGGTGTACAAGTGGCTGTGTGTAAATGCCAAAAAATGAACTCCAAATGTCAGCAAAGTGCAAAAGCAGCCACATGTCCTCAGAATTTGGGAGCGACGTGCTCGTGTGCTGAATGCAGGGACTGACAGATTCTGCAAGTGGGAAAGAGGATTTGCTTCTCCTCACCTGGCCTGAATCCCCCTCACACTGCTGTGCTCACCCATCCCAACTCCCACCACCAGCATTCCCAGCAAGCCCCAGCCCTGGGAATAAACAGAGCTGGGCTCTGACTTTACAGGGACGAGTGGGATGAGGGTGGGATGAGCTCCACCACCACTGCTGACCCCACTCAGCCCCTGCCCACACCGGTCAGGACCGACAGAAACCACGGGGCCTGGAGGCAGAGCAAAGGCTCTAAACAGAAATTAGAGGGTTATTTGAACAGAACTTAATTATCAAGTGCACAAAACGCTGAGGCTCCATGATCATGTCAATGAAAGCATTTGCTTGGCTTAATGTCTTGGGTAATTGGCTGGCTGGACTCATTACCAAGAAGTTCTCAGCCTTAATAGTGATTTTAAGGACTCCAAAGAAAAACATTTACGGGGAGATGAACAGCACTGCAGGTTCAATAATCAACATCAATGTAACTTCAATTTTAACGTGGTTAATCTGTCATTTACCCAGGAAAAAATGGCCTGCCTTCTACTACTAACAGATTTTTTTTCCCCCATATCTGGTTAATTTTCACTGTCCCAAGGCTTCCTGAAGCTTTCAAGCCTGCACATACAGCTCTTCACCTCCACAGCCACCAAACTCTGGATGCCATTTACGCCAAGAAACACAGGAGAGGAGTTTAAGTGCTCGGGGAGGAAAGCGCAGGGGAAAGCAAAATAATAAATAAGGGAAGAGAAGGGCAGTAATTGTGGCCACACAGACACTGCTCCCACTGCAACCCTGCACATCCCACTGCCAGTGTCCTCCCTGACATTCCAGGGAATTAAAGACGCTTTTAGGGATGCTCTGAGCGCAGATGCCGAGGGGGACATTAAATCCCCCAGGAACGAGACCCCCCCCCTGCCGTGGCTGGAGCCTGGCAGGGACTCTGCCCCTCCAAGGTGGCATCACCCCCCAAGCCAAGGCTGGGCACACTCACCCTCGTAACTGGCCTGGAAGCCTTGGGCGCTCACGGCGTAGTCGCTGACGAGCCACAGGGACAGCACAGCCCCCGAGCTGACCACGGGGGCAGGCAGCTGGAACCCTGTCAACCTGCAAGGAAAACAACAGCGAGGTCACACTCCCCATCCCAGGCAGCTGGTAAAGCCTCTCAATGCTTCTATTAATTAATTCCTTGGTTAATTAAAGCGGCCCTCCTGAAACATTCCCACGCTCGAAAACGCCGGGAAAAGCCCGGACCAGCTTTTTTTTTTAATAAAAGCACCCAGTGGAGAGCAGAACCTGCTCGTTTATCCTCCTCTGGTCACCCTGAGTTGGATCTGGGTTTTTCCACCCATCCCAGGCAGATCTGGGCTCTCCAGATGCAGCTTTTGCACTGAGGATTCTGTTCACAGCCCGTGCCGTGAGAGGATCTCGCTCTGCAGATGTTGCTTTTAATTCAGGGCTACAGAACACGTCCTTTACCTGTTAAGGAAGTGGCTCCTGTCCCCCAGGAGTCACTGGGAATTAAGTGGTACCTGAAACAGCAGTGCCCCGGAGCGTTTGTACCAATGCAATTCGTATTTTCCAGTTACAGGCCTTTAAAAGAAAAGTGCCTGTGCATGAGGGCATGAAATTGTAACTGAGGTTTGTTCTCAGTCTTGCTGCAGATTCCACACTGCCCGAAGAGACAATTTTCAGTGGAACCTCTGGGCTTCCTGAGCCTCCAGAAGTGAATGAACCCAACCACCTCCGCGGGCCCCGAGCTCAGAGGGTCGCTCGTGTCTCTCCAGGGGTCCTGGAGCAGCAGCAAAGGGGCTGCCTGGCAGCACAAGAGGTGACCAAACACCGTGTTCCCCCCCAGATCCAACAGCCCTTCTGCCCACAGAGCGCCCCCATCAGCACTACAACTCAACCTGCCCAGAAGCAAGCGGGAAATATTGCTTCAACAGGAAAAAATACGTGTGCAGCAACTCCTCCCCTCCACTGCACAGAGCTCCCTGTCCCCTCCTGCACGAAAACCTGCGCTGGGAATGGGATGAAATTCCTCCTGTTTCTCACTGAAGTCAAAATAAAAGTCATTCCCCCTCTGAAGCCTCCAACCAACACACACAACCGAAATTTTTTCCTTCTTTGATGTCCTCACCCTCTCCAAGCAGTAGCCCAGGCAACATCCTCTTGAAGGAACAATAATTTACCCATCCAAACCACTCCAGTAAGAGCTCAGCTCTCCTGTTCCAGAGCCCCAGGACAGCCAGGCTTGGCAGGACACTCCTGCCTTCCTTCCTAAATCCACAGCCCAGGCAAAATGAAAGAATGGGAACCAACCTGCTGGCAGAGGGAACACAGAATCATCCCCCCATGGCCTCATGCACCAAACAGCAACTCTGACATCACTTATTTAGGGGAGCAGTAAAAAAAAACACGCCCTAATGAGTAAAAAAAAAAAAAAAAAAAAGGCAGCAAAAAGTCTGTTCCTTGTTTTTATTAAGGGCCATAACAAGAAGGTGAGGGCAGTAACAACAGCACCAATAACCATATTCCAGTCCTTCTGTACCTCTGGCCAAATGGATTATTGAGTGATTATCCCCTTAACGTGCTTGGAGCCAGCACTGATTGTGTGAGATTTTCAATGTGTTTTTCATTGGCTTAATTCTGCTCCTGCTGTGAGGAACCAAAGGAGCCCAGCGCCAGCAATGCCACTTCGTGAGCTTGTCCTTGCAAAAAATCGATATCCCCAAACAAAGCAGCACAGAAAACCCTCTGCTCTCTTTGCCTCCTCCCTCACACTGCAAATGTTTGGGGGGTCTGGATCCCCCCCCCTGCAGCAAACTCTGAGCCAGGACAGGTTTGTGAGAACTGAGGCAGCCCCTGCACACGTTTAACAACCCTTTCCATGGGGAAATTCCTCCTGATGTCCAACCTGCCCCTCCCCTGGCACAGCGGAGGCCGTTCCCTCTCCTCCTGTCCCCGTTCCCTGGGAGCAGAGCCCGACTCCCCCCGGCTCCCCCCTCCTGTCAGGGATTGCAGAGCCAGAAGGTCCCCCCTGAACCTCCTTTTCTCCAGGCTGAGCCCCCCCAGCTCCCTCAGCCCCTCAAAGGACCTTTCCTGTCTCCCCTCTGGATGCTCCACCATCCTCCCCAACGCCACAAAGTCCCTCCCTGGTGGAAAACTGTCCCATCCACCCCCAAGAGGAGTTGAGCACCAGCCAAAGACCCTCTGCCCGCCCTGCTCAGCAGCTCCAACCCACAACTCAACTCTTCTTTTGCCCTAAACCAGAACATTCCCTCACTCTCCCCTCCATCTGTTGCACATTATCCCATCCCACTGGATCCAGGACAACTGTACCACACACAGTGACTCAGGCCCCCATTCTGGAGTGCAGGTGCCATAATTAAACCCCAGCACATTATTTTTCTGGTAGGATGCCCACCATCAGCTCAGGCTGCAATCAAAATAGTTATTGCAGCTGGCAATCCAACAGCCTTTAAAGCATAAATGCTGGAGAAGTGTCTCAGAACATCTAATGAAAATGCATTGGATTGTATCATTTAACCCAGCATTAAATTACACTACACCATCCTTCAGTGAGCTCTTCCTGCATGTAATTTAAAGGCACCTATTAAGGAAAATTTCCCATCAAATGAACCTCTCTCTCTCTCTCTCTCTTTGCTGTGTGCAGTTTAAATGACACAGCTCCCCAAGGGCCAAGCCTGGCACCTGGGCACCATCCCAGGACAACAGGTCAGGTCACAGGGGGGTGATCCTGATCCTCTGAGGGATGTGTGAGTGCTGCAGGCCAGCTGCTGCAGGGAGAACCCCTCCAGAAACACAGATGGAGGGATGTCTGGACACTGAACTCTCAGGGAGAAGCTGGAAACACAGCCAGAGTGGTCACTCACAGATGTCCCCCCAGGCTGCCCCGTGGAGTTACATCAAGAACAAAAGAGCAAATGTCACAGATCTGGGAATTTCCCCCCAAGGAATCCATCCCACCTCAGATCTCAGGTTTTTTTTTCCTGGGTGGTTCTGTTAGTTTTTCCTCCCTTTTTCTCTGCATTTATTAAAGAAAAACACAATTACAATGAGATATCAGCTTTTTTTTTTTTTTTTCCCCTAACCTCATTAACATGGTACCACGAAGGCTCTCTCATTAATCATCAATAAAACGAGCAGAGCATGATCTGAGAGCCCTCCCAGCTCCCACACCGCACACACTGAAAAGCCACTTGTGTCTGCAAGGCAGAGCTCGCTGGTGTCACTGAGACGCTTGTCCTTTAATCTGCACCCCTGGAAGGCTGAAATGATGCTCTGGACCAAAAAAATAAGATAAAACAAAAAAGAAATATCTCAACCAGCTTAAAATGAAACTGAAGTGACACAAGAACAGCAGGATCAGCTCACATTCTACTCAACTTCTGGGACTGATTTATGCTCAAGCCCAAAGTGCCTTTGTTTTGGAGTCAAGCTATGACCAGATATTGAGCAAACACCTGCAGAGCCTTGTTGCAGGCACCAGTAACTCCTTGGATATTCTCTGTTCATATTTCACCAGCCATTGTATTCCATCCCCACCATCCCCTCTGCTCAGCTGCTGGATAATTAAGTTGCACCTAAATAATCTAATCCATTGGCTCTGACACAGTTATTATATATATTTCTCTTATCAAGGCAGTAACAAGCATAAAGGGGAAAAAAACCCTCATAAATAAGCATCTTTGTCTGTCCCTCAGGCTCTCCCAGTGACATACACACCTCCATTTTTCCATCAGTTTTTATCCAGAGCTCTGTAAACAGTTCTCTGTCCCAGGGTTCAGGAATCAACTGCACTTCCCTGCCTTTTCCAAGCCAAGCACAATCCATCAAGGCCTGGGAGCCCTTTGCTTACCTCTGCCACTGACAAAGCCTCATTAACCAACCCCGTCTCGAGGGACGGTGACAGAGCCCATAAATCCCAGCCTGGATGGATTTCTTGACTCGTTTAAAACGGGGTTTGGGTCAATTCCCACTAGAAAAGTGTTATTTATAGAGCCTAAAGCCAGCACAGCCAGCTCAAATATATGAGGCCTTCCTGGCTCAAGCTGGGAACAGGTACTGAGCATCAGATTTCAATAAATTTGATTTTCCACACAGTGGAATAGAGTAGGAAGCCCATGGAGTTGGATGTGATTTATTATGTTTATCCTGTCCCTTCCATGCTCCTTTTTCCAAGATGTTCCCAGGCAGCCGTGGGGTGGGTGGAATGGGATGAGCTTTAAGGTCCCTTCCAACCCAAACCATTCCACGATTCCATGATATCCCCCCAACTCTGGCATCTCTGTTTTCACTCTTGTTGTGACAAGCCAAAAAAAAAAAAAAAGAAACCCACCAATTCACAGGAAAGTTCATCAAATTCCAGTAACCCCCTGGCAAATCTGAGCTGACACTGGGAGTAAACAAAGGCAGCTTTGGATAAAACCCAAGAACGGCTCAGAGGCTTCAATTCAGAACTTGGCACATTTGGGTTATTTCTGTCTTTCCTCAGGAAAAAAAAAAAACCAAAAAAACAAAAACCACCAACCCAAAGTCATCAGGGGTGTGAAATCGAGTAAATGGGAAAAACAAGTCCTTGAAATCACACAAGGTTTATTTATTGCTAAACACGGTGCAGGTGGTGAACAACAACAAGTGTTGCCTCAGTGGAGGTGTCGGGAATACCCCGGCATTGACACCAGCCCTTCCGTGTCCTACGGCCCAGGAGCAGAGAGAACAACTGGAAATGCAAGAAAAGCAGCACAAACAGACAAGTTCTCAGGCCAGGGGCATCCTGTGACTCTGGGAGAAGGGGTTTGCCCAGGGAGCAGAGCAGCCTCTGGGCCCTGAGCAGGACTTTGTGCTCCTGGGAAGGGTCACCAGCAACCTGCTCCTCTCTCCCTGGAATGTGAAGATCAGAAACACCACAGGGGGGTCATGGTTTGGTTCAAAATTTCCTTCCCTCCACTGAGGGAAAACAAAAACAACTCTGGAAACCAAAGGAAGGGCAACACCTTCAAGCCCAACGAGAGACACCCCCTAAACGCAGCGAGGGGAGCCACAGCTGGTGAGAAAGCAGGTCCTTTGAGCCCTAAATGAGG